ATAAGCAAAAAGAAAAAAAGCCGGAAGTGGCGCTGTGGCTCAAGTGGTAGAGTGCTAGCCTTGAGCTGAAGAGCTGAGGGACAGCGCCCAGGCCCAGAATTCAGGCCCCACAACCGGACAAAAAAAAAAAAGAAAAGAAATTGAAAAGAAAAAGGGAAATAAACTGGATTATTTCCAAAATTTATCTATTGTGTCTGTTCTGCTTTCTCTAAAGGTAATTTTTTTTTTTTTTGTCGGTCATGGGTCTGAACTCTGGACCTGTGTGCTGTCCCTCAGCTCGTCAGCTCAAGGCTAGGACTCTACCATGTGAGCCACAGCACCACTTCTGGCTTTTTCTGCTTATGTGGTGCTGAGGAATCGAACCCATGGCCTCTTGCATGCAAGGCAAGCTCTCTACCACCGAGTCACCTTCCCAGGCATTTGCATGACTGACTTCATTTTTATTTTCATTCTGCCAGGGAACTCACTCGGGCATGCTAGGTAAGCACTCCACCACTTATGTTACAAACTTAGTCCCTCCATTGCGAATTTTAGTCTGGTGTGTTGGGTCTTTAGTGCTGGAGCTCAGTGCAAAATGATGGCCTCTTGGAAAAGAACTGTTTTTGGTGTCATACTGGGGTTTGAACTTAGAGCCTGGGGGCTGTCCTTGGGCTTATTTGGTCAAGGTTAGCACCCTACCATTTGAACCACAGATCCATTTCTGGATTTGTAGTGGTTAATTGGAGACAAGTTAACAAGTCTCACCAAGCCTGATGCCTGTGGCTCATGACTGTAATCCTAGCTACACAGGAGGCTGAGATTTGAGGATTACTGTTCAAAGCCAGTCAGGAGCAAATTGGTCCATGAGACTCTTACTCCAATTAACCACCAGAAAAACAAGTGGTGCTGTGGCTCAAAGTGGTAGAGCGCTAGTCCTGAGCAAAAATTGCTAAGGGACAGTGCCCAGCCTCAAGAGTTTAAGCCTCACGACCATGACCACCCAAAACAAAACAAACAAAAAAAACCCACTACCAACAGGATTTGCTTGGCTGGCATCCATCCAACCACTTACGACTGTCTACTGCTTGTTTTGTTTTTTGTCAGTACCAAGGTTTGAACTCAGGGCTTTCTGTCCAGTCTGCTTGGCAGGTTGGCATTCTACCATTTGAGCCAAGTCTCCAGCCCAGTAGTTTGCTGGTTATAATGGAAATGAAGTCTACGATTTTTCTGCCCTAAGTGGCTTCAAACCTCCAGATCTCAGCCTCCTGAGTAGTGAGGATAACAGACGTGAGCCACCAGCGCCCGGCTGCAGGAAGGAATCTGTCTAAAGGTTTAAGTAGAACCAAGCTTCCGAATGACCTATACTGAGCACGGGAGAAAGAAGCCTAGGATTCTCGGCCGAGACTGCGCAGTCAGGACCCGGCAGCCGCTCGCAGGCGTTTAAACCCACGACGTGCCCCGGAATCGCCCAACTGCGGCATCCAATTACAGCTCGCCGCTCAGCAGCTCCACCTCCTTTTCCTCGCGGCCGGAAGTTGCGCAAAGGGGGCGGGACAGTGTATCACAAATGGGACCGTGAGGCTTTGCGTTTCCTCTTTCCAGCCAGCGCCGAGCGATGGGTGAGTGTTTCTCTGTGTGGGGACGCGGGAGGGAGGATGACCTCAATCCGGAGCCATCCTGTCCCGCAGCCAGTTTAGGAGTGCATTAACGCCGGCCCTCGGTTCCGAACAGTTACAAGAAAGGGTGATCATGAGGTTTGGGCTGTCGAAGCCCACTGAGGGGATCGCCAGGGCTCCGGGTTGCAAACAGCAGCAACATGGCTGCCGCGGTCAAGAGGCCCGGGCCGGTCGCACGTGTATGATGACAATTCGGTAATGCTGCAGACTCCCGACTGCCTTGTGGGGAAGCCAACCTTGGAGAGCTGAGCGTGCGGCCCGCCGGGCGCGGGCATCTGGAGCGGGCGAACTTCGGCCGAGTCCCAGTGGCTCAAGCTTGCGTCCCTGCCCCCATATACAGGCATCTCTCGGGATAACTGGCACAAGCGCCGCAAAACCGGGGGTAAAAGGAAACCCTACCACAAGAAGCGGAAGTATGAGCTGGGACGCCCTGCCGCCAACACGAAGGTGCGTGGTTCTGGAGGCAGGTGGGGAGGGGCCCTCGCCCTCCCAGCCTTGCAAGGTGGTTTCTGCGCCCGGCCTCCAGGACTTGGTTTGGTGGAGATTGGTGCTGTGTTGAAACTGCAGGGGTGGGCTCCAGGTACTATCAGAAGGCTTGTGATCGTGGCCTGCCTGGAGATAGGGATGTCAGTGTTTGGGTTTTTTTTTTTTCCTCTTGGAGGTGGCTAGAATGATGAGGAAGTTTCCTTAGGCGTGGTTGCGGCCGTCTTGGTTGCTTATTTACCACTTGCCAATGCGAGGACTTGTCATAGTTACACTGACTGAGCTACCTCAGTCCAGCCACGTGTCTTTTTCCTTTCAGAATCGTTCAGTTTGATAACCTGGTTCCTGTTTTCCAGATCGGCCCCCGTCGCATACACACAGTCCGAGTTCGGGGTGGCAACAAGAAATACCGTGCTCTGAGGCTGGATGTGGGCAACTTTTCCTGGGGTTCTGAGTGTGAGTAGGTCTTCCGGGATGGGTGGGTGACAAGGGCAACTAAGTTTGCTAGACCTAGACCAGTTCTTAAAGTTTCTCCTTACAGAAACACTGAGGTAGTCAGACTTGGGCCCACCCAACCTTCTGCACTTGGGGGTGAGTCTAGGCACGCAATTATCAACCACGTCTACAAAAGGATTAGTAGTTGGGGGTGAAGGTTAGCTTGTTGTATCTTTGACACCGAAAGGTTGGACTCCATCTTTGAAGTGATAGTGGTTCGGTTTGTTTTGATTTAGGTGTAAGGATTGAAGCCAGGGTCTGGTTCGTTGGTGTGTGCCAGGCAAATGTTCTACCACTGAGCTACAGTACCCCAGCCACTTAATTCTATGTCTCTTGTGAGCAGGTTGTACTCGTAAAACAAGGATCATTGATGTTGTCTACAATGCATCCAATAACGAGCTGGTCCGCACCAAAACCCTAGTAAAGAACTGCATTGTGCTCATCGACAGCACACCGTACCGGCTGTGGTATGAATCCCATTATGCACTGCCCCTGGGCCGCAAGAAGGGGGCCAAGCTGGTGAGTTGTAGGCCAATCTGTATGTTGTGTAAAGGTGGGGGGGGATTTTTTTTTATGACTGGGATTTTGTTGTGATAAAACTACTTGTTGATGAATGGAGGAACCATGCCTTTAGAGTTAAAAAAGCAGGCATTAGTACAAGGCTCACGGGCTCTAATCACCTTTCTTCCTTAAACTAATAAGTGTTCTCTTTACTCAGACTCCTGAGGAGGAAGAGATTTTAAACAAAAAGCGATCCAAGAAAATTCAGAAGAAATATGATGAAAGAAAAAAGAATGCCAAAATCAGCAGTCTATTAGAGGAGCAATTCCAACAAGGGAAGCTTCTTGGTGAGTTAACTGGCTGTTTGTTTTGTGGAAAAGAACTGGGTACAAACATGCATGGGGGTATTGTACCTGGTACGAAAGCAAAAATGAGAAGTCATGGATAGCTTGGAAAGAGTGTCCAGACCTGCCGGGAGATGTCTCAGTGATGAAAACTTTGTCCAGTTCTGCTACTGAATTTAAATTGACGACAAAGTATATCTGAGGAGACAATGGGCTTTAATGCATGGCAGGTGTCAGTAAGTGGGGGGAGGGGGTTAAGTAGGTAAGGTGTGGCCTGTTGCCATTTGTTTCTAAGAACCATGTATTTTTTCAGCCTGCATTGCATCCCGACCAGGCCAGTGTGGCCGAGCAGATGGCTATGTGCTAGAAGGCAAGGAGCTGGAATTCTATCTGAGGAAGATCAAGGCCCGGAAAGGCAAATAAAGTCATCTACCATCCTTAGCTCATGTAATAAAAGTGTTTATTGTTCTATGTCTTCCATTCTATTTGATATTTCTCTGTTCTGAATCTGATGGCTTTCTTTGGGGAGGGGGTGTCAGTTGTGGGGCCTGAACTCTGGGCCTTGCGCTGTCCCTCAGCTCTTTAGCTCAAAGCTAGTGCTCTACCACTTCAGTCTCAGCACAACATTGTTTTCTAGTGGTTTGTTGGAGATAAGAGTCATAGGCTGGGGCTAGGATGGTAGCTCAGTGATAGAGCGCTTGCCTTGCATGCATGGGCCCTGGGTGGGTTCGATTCCTCTGCACCACATAAAGCAAAAAGAAAAAAGCTGGAAGTGGCACTGTGGCTCACGTGGTAGAGTCCTAGCCTTGAGCTGAAGGGCTGAGGGACAAGCGCCCAGGCCCAGAGAAGTCATGGACTTTCCTGTCTGGGCTGCCTTTGAACTGTGATTTTCATTTCTCAGCCTCCTGAGTAACTAGGATTGCAGGCGTGATCCACTGGTGCCCAGCTTTCATCACTTTGAATTCAGTGGCACTAAACATTCACAAGAAGCTATACAACCTGTGCTTCCCACTGGCTCCAAATTTTCTATTTTGTGATTGATCATGGGGCTTGAACTCAGGGACTGGGCACTGAATCTGAGCTTCTCTTGCTCAAGGCTAGCACTCTAAACAGAGCCACCTTCCTAGGTCTTTTTTTTAGTAGTTATTCGTGTTGAGTCTCACAGAGACTTTACTGTCGGGGGCAGCTTTTTTGGACATTGTTAGGAATTCTCTGTGTTTCTGGGGTTTTTTTTTTGGTCGGTTGTGGGGCTTGAACTCAGTCTGGGCACTGTCCCTCAGCTCTTCAGCTCACTTGAGCCACAGGGCCACTTCCGGTTTTCTGGTGGTTTATTGGAGGTTAAGAGTCTCATAGACTTTCCTGCCTGTGCTGGCTTTGAACTGTGATCCTTCATATCTCAGACTCCTGAGTAGCTAGGATTACAGGTATGAGCCACAATAACCTGGCAGTGAATTTGTGTGTGTTGTGGGTCCTGGGGCTTGAACTCAAATCTGGGAGCTGTCCCTGAGTTTCTTTGCTCAAGACTAGCCTACATCCAAGAAATGAGCCATGGTTCTGTTTTACAGCTTTTTCTAGCTGCTGCCAGTGTATAGAGTCCACCAAGACTGTCCCCAATCTCAATATGAGTTGAGTTGTAGTGAGAGGCAAATCTTGTCAACCTCACAAGTACAGTCACAAAACTGAGTTGCATGGGCTGAGAATGTGGCTTAGTGGTAGAGTGCTTGCATAGCATGCATGAAGCCCCCTGGGTTTGATTCTCAATACCATATACGTAAAAAAGTAGCATTGTGACTCAAGTGTTAGAGTGCTGCCCTTGAGCACAAGCTCAGGGACAATACCTGCGCTTCAAGTTCAAGTCCCAGGACGGGGGAAAAAGACCTTTAAATTACAGTCAATTCCCCAAGAGGTATTAATCTGTCAACAGTTTATCCGTTTTCTGTCAATACTGGGGCTTGAACCTGTCAGGGTGCTGTGCTTTCATTTTTTGCTCAGAGCTAGTATAGTATATCATATATATTATATGTATAATTTTTTTTTTGTCGTGGGGGCTGAACTTGGCCTCATTGCTGTCCCTCAGCTCTTCAGGTCAAGGCTAGCGCCCTACTGCTTGATCCACAATGCCACTTCCTGCTGAGCCAACTTCCCAGCCCCCTGATACTATATTCTTGACTTGTACTACTTTCTTGGATAACCATTGTTTGCATGTAGTAAGGCTAGCTGCACCTAGAAGCTTCCAAGTACCTTGGAATATATCTGAAGGTGTTATATTGTGGGTTTGGAAAAGTCAAAGTTAACCTGTATAACTGTCAGTGGCTACAGCCTACTCCCTATTCCCTCCTCCCCAGCCCTTGGTTTTTTGGGGGGAGGGGGAAGTCCGGTGGTGGGGCTTGAACTTGGCATGGGTGCTGTCCCTCAGCTCTTCAGCTCAAGTCTAGAGATCTACCACTTGAGCCAGTGCCACTTCCAGCTTTTTTCTTTTTGCTTATGTGGTGCTAAGGAACCGAACCCAGGGCCTCAGGCATGCAAGGCAAGCGCTCTACCACTGAGCCACCTCCCCAGCCCTTGTTTTGACTTTGGTTATCCAAGGTTTGTTTTTTTTTTGTCGGTTGTGGGGCTTGAACTCGGCCTGGGTGCTGTCCCTCAGCTCTTCAGCTCAAAGCGAGCGCTCTACCACTTGAGCTACAGCGCCACTTCTGGTTTTCTGGTGGTTTATTGGAGATAGGAGTCTCTCCTGCCTGGGCTGGCTTTGAACCGAGATCCTCAGATCTCAGCCTCCTGAGTAGCTAGGATTACAGACGTGAGCCACCAGGGCCCGGTGTATCCAAGGTTTTAAAACCAATCTGGTGGGACTGCTTCTCTGAGTTAAATCAGCCTCCAGGCCCTTCAAAGATAAGTAATCAGCATATTTATATTCTCACAACAGTTAAAAAATTCCAGTACATTCTGTGCCTTTTCTAGTTAGGTTGTCAAGCAGAAGTATATCCTTCTATACATTTTTCATACATGACTTAAACTGTCACCCCAAGACCAGCAGCACTGCTGCTATTATCAGTGACACATCTTGTGCCCCATCTCAAAATGAGTGTCAGGAAACTTGGGGTGTCTAGCAGTAGACAAGCCCCAGGCAATACAGGCCTCCCTCCTTGTAGGCCAGTTACTGGTCTTTTGTGCCAAGTTCCTTTTCCCTCACCCTGGCCAGCCCACGACAGGGATGTAAGTCTCAGGGTCCCAGGGGTTCATCTGGGGACTCTGCCACTGTTTCTTCCTCAATGCGTTCAGCAGTCTCAGAGTCTCCTCCCTCCTCACCTCTGAAGCGCAGCAGATGGGGAGTCCGGGGCACAACCCGGCGGCCGAAGTTCCGGAGGCTGATGGCAGGAGAGGGTGCACTTGCCCCCAGAAAGCGGCTGAGCAGTGGGGTCTGCATTGCGGGCGCTGGCCCAGCCAACCTCGGGGATAACTCCACCTGCACGCTCTGCTCCAGTTCATCACTCATTCTGAGGACAGGAGGGTAGATCTTGAGTCCAGCCAGCAATGGGGGATTGCACTCTGGTGGTAGAGTCTTGTGTTTTGGGGTTTTTTTTGGGGGGGGTAGTCAGTCATGGGGCTTGAACTCTGGGCCTAGGCACTATCCCTCAGCTCTATCTCAAAGCAAGAGCTAAGAGCTCTACCACTTGAACCACAGCGCCACTTCCAGTTTTCTGGTGGTTTATTGGAGATGAGTCTCACAGACTTTCCTTCCTGGGCTGGCTTTGAACCATGATCCTCAGATCTCAGCCTCCTGAATAGCTAGGTTTACGGGGGTGAGCCTCTGACACTGGCTTCTGGTGGAGTCCTTATTGCTCCAGCGGGAGGCCAGGAAAGTGCAGGCCACTTACCGCAAGTTGAAGGTGGAACCCAGGAAGGAAGGCCGCAGTGAGTCGGCCGCTGTGGCCACTGTGTAGGGTGGCTGTGGCTGGTCCTCATCCCAGTATGCGTCCTTCTCTGCTGGAGGCAGGTTCTGGTACATGTCATCCACAGACAGTAGGGACACCTGGACCAGCAGAAGGGCAGGCAGCACATGGGAAGGGTTTTCCTTCCTCCACCTGGACTGAGCTACTGGGGTGAGGGAGCCAAGCAGCCACCCCAGGACCCCAGCTCCACACCTCGATCCCTGCCCCACACACCTGCAAGTTTCGGTCTATGAGTTGATTAGTCTCAAAATCATCATCATCCTCACCAAAGGGATTGATGATCTGTTCTGCCACCTGTAAGTTACATGCAGAAACAGTGTATCTGGGCCCAGAGTCCCTCTGTCCCCAGTGTTAAGAGTGTGACAGTGGTTATCTGTGCCCACATCTCTGGAGCAGGCTGATACGATCATTTGAAGTGCCCACCTTGAGCCAGCCAGCATAGAAGAAGAACTGCAGCAGTGTGGTGAGAGGGACATACATGTCCAGGTTCCCCAGGGCGGGCGATGGTTCAGGCTCCTGAAGTTTTTCAGTCCCTGCCTCTGGCTCTACAAACTGCCGGCCAACCAGAGTGAGAGCAAAGAAGGAGTATACAGCTATCGTCACCACCTAGAGAAGGGAAAACCAGGAGTACCATTCTTGCCTTGACCTGGGGGGAATCTGATAAGTAATTAAACATATAATGGGGTAGGGGCAACCATGGAGATAGGATCATCTTGCCAAGAAGGAAGAGATACTTTGAGGAATAAGCCCTTGACTATAAAGTGCCTCGCAGTATTGAACTAGCAAGGACCGTCTCTCAATCCCCAGGACATGCAGAAGCACTGGGACTGAACAGGGGAGAAGCAGTTACTTGGGTGTAGACGAGTGGGATGCTGATCCAGTCATAGTGGAACAGCATGCTGCACTTGGCACGGTACTTGTTCAGCTCCTGGTGGAACAGCAGGAAAAGGAGGTCAGCAGAGCTGAGGAGGAAGATAGGAAGAGAACAGGGAGCATAAAGCAGACCGGGGCAAACCTGAGGCTCAATCTGGGGTTATCAATCTGGGGTGCCTGTGATAGGAAGTAATTAACAACGTCTTGGCTAACACAGGTCCTGGAGCCAGAATGACTGTGGATCACATCTCCACTAACTAGCTGTGGAGACAAGCTTTTCTACTAGTGCCTCAGTTTCTTTGTTTGGGAAAAGGGGATGGTAACTGTACCCAGCTCAAGAGTTGTTTCCAGAGTTAAGTAAGTTAATATAAGTACATGCTTCCAAGAGAGTCTGACACTATATAATTAGTGCCATTTAAGTGTTAAGTATCAAATCATTCCAAAATTATTCGTATGACTGGAGTATGGAAGGCCAGGAGCCCTGATCCTGGACTGACTCACTTCCAGAAGAAGACAAAGAGCGATGTCATCACGAATTCGCCCATCCTTGCGAGCCTGGGCCGCCAAGTTAGTGAACCAGACACAGGGGACCCAGTATTTGTTGAAGTCGGATTTCAGGCTCTCAAATTTTTTCCTCTCCTCCTGGGACATAA